AGTAGCTTTAATGTAACTGCGATGAGACTTTATCAGACTAAGGAACATTCGGAGGTCATGAACAATTTCTGGAAGCTGTAATCTAATGCAAGTTGCACTTTCTGTGGAAGAGAACGTGAATTATTTGCTGAAATTAAGTACCAAGCATTCTAAAATCTGTACACCAAGAAATGATTTGAATATTTTTATACGACGATCGTAGTTATGTAGTCTTTCAAAAACCAATTTAAAATCTGATCCGTGTTCCTCTTCTGATGAAGAAAAAATTAAGATATCGTCAAGGTATTGCAAAAGAAATCCACTCTTCAAAATACTTCATTTATAAAACATTGGAATGCGGACGGAGCATTACGCAAACCAGAACTCATAATACTTAATTCATAGAGACCGAAAAGTATTATAATTGCAGTTTTAGGTTTATCTTCTTCTGCAATAGCCAATCTTACTAAGCCACCGATTCTTTAATCAACTGAATAAGCGAACGCTTGAAAATTGCTATGGTATGTATTGGATGGAAATGGGAATGGGAAAACTAGAAAGTAGAGAATAAATACAACTTTAAAGTTGTACATACATTTTTTAAGACTTAGCGATAAGATTAAACAAAAATTAAACGAACTTAAGTAATAGATAAATATTATTAAATAAAGATTAAATGAAGGAATATCAATTATTTCATTGTTTATTTTACATTACTCAAACTTTAATCGAAAACTTCGCTGTGTACAACAAAAAAAGATTGTTAAACATGATCAGCTAAGTTCGTCCACGTCGCACGCAGTTTTTCCTTCCCTTTTCTAAGATGCTTTGACATATTAACATTTGAAAAAAAAAAAAAAAAAACTACGTTTCTTAAGCGTTAATGTGCACATACATTAGGTATTTTTGAAATTGGAGAAGTGAGAAATGAGCAACGCCGTCGCCGGGACTCGAACCTGGAACTCTCGAATATGCGCTGCATATGCTAACCGTTACACCACGAAGGAATGCAGAAAGGAGGGAGAAAATATATTTTACTGAAAATCATCTGTTGGTGGAATAGGATAATGAGAAAGTATTATTCGCACCCTTCAGACTTCTGTAGTCACCGAATGGGAGAATCTTTGTTGTAACAACACGAAGGATCTTTCTGACACAGTATTCACATCATCATGAATCGCCATGTTTTTTGTGGCGACATGAATCGCCATCTTTCTTTCTGGCAACATGAGGGATAGCCCATTGCGAATTCGATGGTCTAATTACATAATTACCTAACATAAACTAGAACTATTGTTTGACAATTCGTAATCTCTTTGAATCTAATTGTTGAGTTTTTGTTGATATATGATGTTTGATTTCATTTACAGAATCAAGCGATTAATAAATTCGTTTTTGTAATATCGGGATATAACGAAAACAAATCAGTAAAGATTAAAGGAATTTAGAAAGTCAGTCTCTAATATGCCTCAAAGCATGGTCATTGAAAAACAATTCTAAGTTCAAGAATTTTAACACCTTGCGTTGAAACTTCTGTTCCATTTACTGCATATAGTAACTTAATATCACTTTCAGTTTACCTATCAGAATTAGTAGCAAGAATTAAACCAATGTCCACTCCACTGTGTATTAGTAAATGCAGTCTTGTTTTTTTGTCGTTACAATTAATCGAGAATTGCGGCCAATTTTAAAATTTTTGGCCACAAGGTTTGTGGCTAATTTACCGCTATGAGTTTTCCGACTGTTTCCATCTACATGGAGTTTGCCCTTTTCCTAGAAGCATTTAAAACCGAAAGTAAAATAGTAGTAGCAGTACTTACCCCGAGGATTACATCATTTTCAATTTCGAAATGTGCTCATACTTCTTGGTAAAGGATGCACAGAACTCTTAAATTGAGACTGTCTCGATGCACTTTTTATTTAGACATTTCTGTTCTGAACGATATATTTTTAAATTCCATAGTATTGGAATGTTTGTGATCATATTAGTTTATGTTTATGACACATAGTTAAGTTTTCGGATTTCTTTTCTGAATTTTACCCGCTGTAATTGCAAGTTCTTCGAGAGATTCCTTAACTGATCAACAATATGTTCTTGATTCAGACAGTTTTTCTATCCACAACGTTTTTCAAATTTTTTTTCGATAATATAATAAAATATATATATTAAGGATAGTTAAATAATTCTCTACTCTTCTACCAGAATGCAAATAACTTAAAGAATAAATAAGCTCCAAATCTGAGAGAAAAGAGAGCTTTTGGCAGTCTTTACGACCTTTACTCTATTTCGCTTCCCTGTTGACAGAATTCACACTTTATCTCATTGCTATATCATCTTATGGCTTCGGAAAGCCACATTTGCTTCGCGAATACTTAAAACCGACACAAGTATTATTTAGAACTTTTATTTTGTATTTAATAACCAATATTTTTTGTACGTGTTGTTCTGAATTTCTGTTAAGCAGCGGAATTGACCTCTTTTATACTAACCGTCAGGCTGACTTGTTAATAAACGGGTTTATTTAAAACCGTCCCTTTGAGTTTGTGATTACTATAGTTAGAGGAATGACGAAACAATAAAGTCTTTTGACTGTCTTTACGGGTTCAGAATCTTGGTATTTTGGAACAGTGTACAGCTATATAGTGTCAGAAAATGTTCGATTTTTTGTCAAAATAATTACGTTAGAGCTATGTTACCCATAAATGTAATATACATATATATATATCGCTTCCGAGGCATGAGAAATATAATTTAAAGTTTGTCAATCGGCCGATTAGAATCGGAGATATAGAATTGCTCCTTCCATTTTCTTTTTGATTCACTGTGCATATTAGATATACGCTGTTTGAGAATTGCTGCGGAATAAAATTTCTTGTGGTATAACTAATGACAGACAATCTCCTGGGAACAGTAATATAGTTTCTTTTATTTAAAATAAAGTTGTAAAAAATATAATTGCTTTTATTATACACAGAGGCGCGCATTTTCCTCATTGCATCAAATGGAAAAGTACCTAATCACGGCTCTGTTTCACGGCATCCACGGCGTAGATGTAATTTGTTTGTCCCTCGATCGGAGGCAAGGTGCTCACCTATCAGGTGCTACCATAATAAAGTGACTACCGCTTGCCGTCTTAATAGTGGCCAATGCCTATAAATTACTAGAGCCCGCCCTTAGGGAAAAAAATGTCTTGAGCAGTAAGCCTTCCTTTTATCAAATGAGATCGCAAATATTCACTTGTTATTAATTTATGAAAAAAAAGTATCATAGCAATTTTTTTTCTTCTATTTGGCTTTGCCATTATGACTGCTCATTTTAAGTATAAGGTTTTATGCTATGTATGTTTTATTTATGGAGAACTAATTCTTGAATAAATAAACTTTCCTACTTGTATAGTTTAAAATTGTTTTAGGTGTTAATCTTGTAGGATTCTCCACTGTGTATTTCTCAGTTGAAAGGGAAGAACCTTAAGAACTAGTAAGCGAATAATAGCTTGAGTTCGTAAGATAGAAAACAACAAGTAAGAAGAGTGAAATTATTCCAATTCCTTTATTATTTCAACTAAAGTTTAACAGAACTCCGTATTGTAAAGTTAGCATACACAATAAAGCCGACACTTGGACTTGAATTTAAGAGACTAAGAATTAAACTAAACTTATCTTAAATAACGAGATATAGCCGAAGCTATCAAAATTCTAACAGAGTTGGCCCTTTAACGCTAATTGACTGCGAAGCATCAAGCCGAAGCACACGGACGAGCGTCAGGTGCGTCGAGAGAGAGAAAAAAACGGGCTCCCACCGGTGCCTCACTAGCGGACGCACAAAGATCTGTGGGATTTCGACACATACCCCGTTCCTATATCAAGATGCCGAAAAAAATCTACTGACACACGTACAATCACACACACAACCACCACCGTGAAATATAAAAACATTAAATAACATTATGAAGAAAACAATTATCATTGTGTATGAATCATGAAAAAATTGCAAAATGCAATAATGTCTTGATTGCGGCACTCCTAACCTACTCATGGCCACCGGTTGCGACACTGGCGGCGACACGTGCATGCAGAAGCTCTGTATCGCCTCACGAAGATGAGAACACCGCGGTTATAGCCGCTCTTCTCATTAGCATTCAGCGGACCTAAAACTCGTTTTGGCCGGAGTGTAGTTAAATTAAGAATCGATAGAAAGGAATTTAACTCAAAATTAACTGTAATAAAGTAACTATCCTACAAACTGACATCTCTATCTAACATGGTAAAACCCCAAGTTAAATGCCGCATCCATTTCAGTTCTTTTTGGTACTTGATGTTGAGACTTTTTAATTAAAAAAAAAAAAAAAAAAAAAAAAAAAAAAAAACAGACAAAACCTGGGGGAAACTTTAGGTAATTTCTGACTTGGATGTTAAGCTGAATTTGCAATGCAAATTTTTGTTTTTACTGCGGCAGCCAGGCGTAGCGAGAGGGGGCAGGGGGGACTCTGTCTCCGACGTAGAATTCAAGGGACGGAACTGAGGTCAGAACATTGGAGAATGAAGTTTTTCCTCCTGTCTACGTAGGGGCGCGAAATCTTCAGTTGTCCCTGGGTGCTGAAAACCATAGCTACCACCCTGTTCTCATCCCTATATTTATTATTCTTTCAACCGTTTATTATTTTCAGAAGGAAAGTGTAGATAGATCCCCCCTCCCCAGAAAAAAAATCCGATCATTTCACCTTTCAAAGTCGTATATTACTTAACTCCCTTACAATAAAAAATAATACGAAAAAAGCCTGAGCGAATTTAGTCATCTCACATTTATTTTACCATTATTTTTATGTACTGTTATGTCATTTGCGAGTAAAATGATATGCGGGAAATGAGGCGTAAACGCACGAAAGAACTGTTTGCCCGCCACTTCTACCCATTTATGAAAACAAAAAATCGCAGTTTGTATGATCGTCTCTACTCGCGCATGCTCCATGACATCCAACACAGCTGGCGTAACAGGTTTCCCTCCGCGCAAACTGGCAGGAATGTTTCAGAATCCGTACTTTTTTTCTTACGTAGTTTTCTCCCTCGGAACCAGCTCCGTACGCTAGAAGATCAAATTCTCCGAGATTAACATGCTCTCTATAAAGCTCTCTAGTCTGGGCGATGGTAATAAGTAGCTGGGCTGGAAGAAAAGTCATTTGAATTTTATTCTTCGTGTGTGAAAGTTCCTTTTAAAGCTTCCGAGCTGGGTACTTGCGTGAGCTTCCTATCCCGAACACATTCTGTATCCCCTGCTTCGGACTTTTCCTGGGGATACGATTTCCACAATGGTAAGCTGGCCTTATTTTTTATTGGAATTATTAATAAAATCAATCAATTATCAAAAACTAAAAATGAAAAAAATCAGTAAATAAAAACTACAAATGAAAAAAATTAATAATCAAAAACTGAAAGTAGTAACTGTTTAGGGAATAAATTTATCAAAATAATTTATTTTTATTTTATATGAAGATAATCAATTAATTTTGGTTCTGTTTTTTTAGTGTTGTAACGGCAAAGGGTAAGATAAAATCCCACAGCCAATGGGGATATTAAAAGAGTTATTTCTTTTTTGTTGGTGCTTGGGCCGCTCCGAAGAGAGGACCGTTTCTCTTGGTACAGTAGATTTTACTAGGGCGGAACATTCTTCGAAGTATTAAAGACACGTAATATAAAAGGACAATTAGGAAAAAAAACACTATGAACCAATAATATAGAAATAATCTTACTACAAAAAATAAAAAGAATATAAAAAGAATTAGTTAAATAACATTATTATAACTACTGTGGTAAATTTATTGCTGTAATAATAAATAAGAAATGCACAGAAATTCATTAAATTAAGTTTAAAACACTATTCTAAACTTCTGTTAAAATAACTTTTAAAACACTATTTTGTTTAATATTTTGTTAAACTTCTAAATCTACAATTCTAAATTTATATTTTATATAAATGCAACAAAACTATATTATTGTAAACAATCGGAATTGAAATTAATTGATGTTTCTCAGACAAAATAAAGGTCAGACTATCGTAAACAAATTTTATAAAATCAATTTATATATTATCATCTTATTTATAAATTTGTCTAGTTCATTGTAAATTAAAAAAAAAAATGTGATGAATTAACCCGTCTTACAAAAGTGCTTGGAATGGTTTACTAATGTCCTCCATTTATAATAATCTAGGAAAATTTAATTAATTTTAACTATCAGCTTTACAGCTGTCTCGAATTTAAACAAAATACAAATTTTGAATTTCAGTATTAAAATTATTTTAATCATTTGTTTCACATTTTTTTATTTAAAATCATAACAATTACAGAAGTTTAAGAGTTCTTTATTTCACAATTTCGCCTTCTTCGTTTATAAACTGATTCCAAAAATTACTGTCCGGTTAGGATAAGAAAATCGGTTTCTCTTTTTATCTCTACTTACTCTTCTCTCTATCCCTTTCACGCTTAAGTGGTAAAAAATGAGAAATAATTTAAAGCACTACATATTTTTAGTTAAAATATTTTTAAAACTCATAACTTAGCATTTAATATTTAAAATAAGAAGCAGAAGAATATTTATGGAACAAATTTTATATGAGTCTGAAGAAAAAGTATTTAAAGCTATTGATAAAAGATGCAACATTCTTCAATTAATATCCTTTTTTCTCTGTTTCGAATTCGCTAAATTAATTTCTTCATAAATAAGATAGTTATGTATGTAAGTGGCATAAATGTTATTCGTTTCTATAAACATTATATGACAGAATGAACTTTCTTTGTTGGAAAGAATATGCAATATTTTTTTTACTTTTAATTCCTAAAAATTAGTCTAATTACATTTTAATTAAAAATTGCGCTTGCAATCTGAATTCGAAAGTTTTTGTGTCATGTGTAATTTTTATTAATGAGTAGCAGAATTCTTGAAAATTTTTATCATTCTTGAGAACCATAAAATTAATCATAAATTTCTCTTATATTTGAACATCAGGGTAATTACATTCAATAAATTAAAAACAAGGGACTAAAGAAAAGCAGTTACTAAATTCAAAGATTTAGAATTATAAATTTTCAAATGGGAATTTTTGATTCTATTGATAAAAACAGCGTTATAATTTGATAACATATTTACAAGGATTTATAACTCAGTTTCATTATTTGTTTGTTTGGGTTAAAGCCTGAAATTAATTTTTGAACCCCTTCTACTGATTTTCGTGAAATTTTTCGCACATCCTTACTTGCAAGGACAAGAAACACTGCACAATAAGTGGGTGTAAAGTCCGAGGGTTATCGTTTTTTTTTTTTTTTTTTTTTTTTTTCAAAGTCCAGAATAAATTCATAAATCCTTATCCAAGGGTCAGGACTACCTCAAAAATTTTTATTTTTACACCACTGAGTTGAGAGAAATATTATTTTCCAAGCTTAAAACATAATTTTCTAAGTATTTTTAGCTGACTAAAATTGATTTTTCCAAGATTTTTACTCGGATTTTTCAAAAATCGTTTTATTTTTTTAGCTATCGTACAACTACTAACAAGGATTTTTAAATTCAAAGTTTTAATTCTTTGCTTTTAGCAGGCCCATGATTTTAAATGATGATGAGATTGAATTTATAAATCAAACAGAAATTTAAATTAATTTAGTGTAATCCTAAAAGTATTTAGAAAGAATCATTTGAAGCGGCTATTTTCTTTATCACTTTTCCGCATTTATGAGCTAAAAAATTTAAAATTAAATACACAAATATCTCTTTTAAGCTGCGCGGTTTCAATTACATATGTACATTAAAAATAAAAAGATAATTTTCTTAATTACTTAAAAATATTCTTGTTGTTAAGTAACTGAATGTAAAATCGTATGACTTCTATATACGAACTATATTAGAATACTAATAGAATTCGTACGGTTTTATTTTCAGTCACATACGATTAAGAATATTATGACATCTAAATTTTTACACTTAGTGAATTCGATTAAAATAGCATAACTTAATATTCTTAATATTTTGAATGTTTATGAAAAAATGACTTGTTGAATGAAAGTTAATATTTAAATATGAAATAAATATAAGAGTTTTGTAATATAAGAGTGTATTTTGATATACTATAAGAGTTTTGTAAAGTACGTAATTTAGAAAAAGTTGTATCGAAACTCTAAGATTTGCGTTTCTACTAGACTGGTGGTAGTTTTCTTGTGATCCTTTAACATCTATTCAAGCTTTATAATGGTTTTATTATTTATTTATTACAAATATTTAATAAATAAACAGAAGAGGCATTTCAAGTTTATAAAATTACTATTTTAAATGTTTAACGGTAAGTAATCGAGTTATAATACAAATTTTTAAAATGTTACATAACCCACATTCCGGAATAAAGTTGATAAATAAAAAAGTCTGCGTATTCTCAGACATGGTCTAGACCAAGGTCGGTGACCTGCGACTGGTCCTGGGGTCATACGTTCTCCTGGAGATTCAAGCATGTTTAAATCTATAAATTTTTTTAGTTATTATGCTTTGTTTTAATTATAAATCTGGTTAGAAAGGAAATATTTATACTTTCCTACGATACTTTTGCAAGCAGTGAAAAACAAAGTCATAGGGAAAAATTTATTATCACTCGGATATGATGCCCCACATCTACGAAATTTGATGTGTATTGCGTATTTTTTCCAGGAGGAGAGGAAGTCTATGAGCACTTTGAACTGAATTTTTTTTTGTTTCTTTTGTTTTAAAGTTTTAAAATTCAGTTTTCTTTTTTAAAACGTAGAAGAAATAAAACTCAACTTTGCTTTCAATTTTCAGATTCCTATGTTGTTTGTTATTCCATGCATTTATTACATTCTGTTTCCCAAATTTTGCATTCTAGTAAAGTACCGTCAGTTCAGGTGGACGAAATATTCGTTGCTAGCCTCATGCGCAAACTAACCAGTAGGACAAAAAGTACACAACTGTATTCGAGCAATTAAGCCTCTTCTTTATTAATTAAGTGCACGGCAGCACGTGGCTTTAATTTATGATAGGATAGCATTATATATAGAAAATTTCATCCGCACTGTTTCAAACAACTTGTTTTAAATGTGTAATTATAGCTTTAATTTATGGAAGATTAGTTCCTAAACTGGTAAATTCTCGTTATTGTTAAAATTAAAAATTATTTCATGTTTGAAAGAAAAATTTGCATATGGAGATCAAACTGTAATTCTTTTGATTTTTGAATTTTTAAAATATTTCCCTAATTTTTTCATAATATATTAGACTGTACTCTAAAGTTTCCATACTGCAGTTTTTAATTTTGTTTTATTTATTACATATGTATTTTAATATTTGGGTTGATTTAAATGTGATTTTTTTTAACTGATACTTCACATAATGTCTTCGCTTAACGATTGAACTTTTAATCGGAAAAAATTTTTCTCTCTTCCTTCGGATAGAAAATAGTCCACCAGTTGAAGTTTGTGTCAAATCTCAAACATAATTTAGCGATTTTTCCATCATTATGCGTCCAATACATTTAAATTTGAACTTCGAGAAATCTATGATTTATAATGTCCCAAAACTTTTATTCGCTGATGTACTCTGTCCAGGGACGTCTTAACAGCATCATGTGACTCCCCTGGCCTTTCAAGGCACACCGAGTTTCAAGTATAACAATAAATTTGTCAAAATACGGCACATTATATGCGTAGATCCTCTCGGCTATTGCTATTAGTACTCATCAAGACGCCATTGATCCTATCTTGCCTTTCAAAAACGAAGAGCGAAAAAGTGTTGCAAAATAGTAGAAGGTATTAGTTTTAGAGAGAAAGCCTTTTCCCGCATATCACAGATCGCTTTGCTATTTTTATTTAATACAAAAAGTTGAATAATTTAATATTATTATATTAGAACTATTTCAAGGAAACCTGAAAATGTATTTAACTGGAATTCGGTAATCTGATATCATATATGAAAACAGATCGTTTTTTTTTTTTATACTGCTGTATTAGAAATTTTAGACTAATTCTTGAATTAGTCTAAAAATTCTCAATAAGCAGTATTATAAATTAACATTAATTTTATAATATTAACTGAAAAAAAATACGACTAGCAATAAATAAATAACTTTAAAATGCATCTGCAAATAAATTTTTTAATAATAGAATTGGATTTACTAACATCAGTAGTATTCTTATTAAAATTAGAAAACAAGCACTATTTAGGAATAATTAGTAATTCAGAAAAAGCTGCCATTCTATATCGCGGTAGTAGTATATAAGACGCAGTATTCTTTTAACGATACTTGAAGGGAAAATGTGGG